TATTACGAGTCTATTGCTCCAGAGTCCTTTAGAATACAAAGAAACATTGCTTAATGGAATTCTTACGGTAATGTCAAATTTGTACAAATCTCTAAAGATTTGCTGTTATGAATTCTTGTGCAATGTAATAAACAACAGCTTTAAAATGGTTTTAGACAATGAGACCAAGTTTTTATTTGGTTTAAAGTGGAAACACAACATGGTTAATAAAATACTGCAAAAAAAATTGAGGTTTGAATTGTGTCCAACTATACAAAAGCTTCAAAATACATTTTTTGTTGTATTTATAGATGGGCTGTCAGAGCTGTTCATCTTACTGATGGATAACAGAGGAGTCAGTATTACATTCCTGTTCTAAGGACCACATTGAGAGGGAGCCAGTTGTAATACCGTGGTCTGTCAAAGTTGGTGGCAGAATCTGCATTGGCATGATTAGGTTGTGGATTGGTGAAGCATCGTGGGTTTTAAGCATGCCGTCATATACCACTGTGAATTTAGTTAAACCAGATGGAAAAGTTTAGAGTAAACTTAGAAGCTTTCCCTAAGCTGATCAACTGACTGAGGTTCCTGATTGCTATACTCCCTTACTATTTTTGCTGATGGTTTTCATGTTTGATGGATGTATAAGAGAAATAAGGCATAGCTAGTGTGAGGTAGTACTTCACTGACTTAACATTTCCCACTGTATTTTTGTAGTGAAAGTATTGCTGCTGCTCCTCCTCTTTTTTCCCATTGCTAGCTCAGTAGAATTTTATTATGCAGTTGTGGCTTGTTATGGCTGAAAGGTGAATCTTCAATATTTGATGCTTTAATAAAACCTTAGCTGTTAAAATGAGACAGTGTATCAGAATTTGAATCTTCTCTTTAAAAGGCAGCTCACATGTTTAGGCCATCTTTAATGTTTCCTAATTGCTATGAAAATCTTGAGAGTAAGAAACCAAGTAGGTGAACTAGATGAGGTGGGAAAACATGGAAGGAAGTAGGAAGCATCAGCAGAATATAAACAGCTTTGATGTTCAACCTGACGTAACTCAAGCTTTTTGACTGGACTAGAAATTGAGATGAATTACAAGTGGTAAACTAGAGACAGTCTCTAGTTTAAGGTATCCTTTGGTGACAAAAAAAAAAGGAACTCTATTCCTGTAAATAAATAGAAGTGCTGGACTATTACACTTTCTTTGTAATAACTGTAAACTATGAGATGCCAGATTTTTGCCTAGCCGCTTGAGCATGTGTACTTGGGCACAATCCTGTTCCAGGAGTTTTCAGTTACTTATTTCTATTATAAAATAAAATTATGACTGGCATTTTCTTGGCTGGAATTATAAAACTGTACACAAAGTATATGGAGCCTTTCTGGGGCTGAAGCGCATTATTCTCTGTAGGTTTTTGCAGATCTGTGTTGCCAGGGAATCTAAAGATTTTTGCATATTTTGCCTTTACCCCCAAAGCCTGTAAAAATTAGGCCATTGCTTCTGTTCACATCTGTTTGCAGAAGGTGGGTTTTTTTTTTTTTGATAGGTAAGGAGAGACATTCAATAATACCTAGGATCGTATCTTCCACCTGAGTAATCCTTCTAATTAATTTATGACTTGCTGTGGGTTTTTCTGCATGTGGTCTCAGCAGTGATTAATCAGAATTTTGAAACTGGCAGCCCGTAGCAGTGTTACAAAAGACAAAGCCAAACCCCAGAATTGTAACCAATTAACTTATTCTACCTGCCTGAGATTCATTTGTAGAGATAAGTACTCCTCATCTCTGTGTAGTATCAGATGTACTTGTAATTATCATAACTGATTGTAACTTCTGATTTTCATGATGCCAGTGAGCATTCTGTGGAAGGTACTGTTCCCTGTGACAATGATGGTCCATGCTAGGCTGTTTTGCATTTAAATTGGATAAAAATGAACACTGAGCCCTGTACCTGCTAAGGAATTCTGTGCTGGTACTTTTTTTACAGTAACTACAGTGATGGTGCATGGTAATCTTTCATAGATCCCTGCTAAACTGAGGGGAAGAAAATTGAAGAGACTGGAGAGAATATGGAAAGGTCTCAATGAGGACCATCTTTGCTCCTCCTCCCGGAGCTTTCTGTTTTGCCTTCTATACGCGACGGCACAGAATTTTTCCGCTCTAGTGTGGACTTACATGAGTGGGTTTTCCTTCCATCTGTACGCTTCTGCGGTAGGGTGAGTCTTTGCAGAAATCTTCCCAGTGGGAAAGGTGGCTTTGTCACTCAAACTGGCTCTTGTGGGATGGGAGTTTGTGGCAAGTGTATGTGAATTTATTTTACCACCTAGTCAGAGGTGCTAAATGGCTGAAGAGAGGAAGAGAGGCAGATCTCTGAGTGCTTCAGAGAGGAGTGGAAAAGTCTGACTCTCTAGTTCGTACTAAAAGTTTTGCCACCTTCTGAGCGAAGTAGCAAGAGCAAGACCAGCAGAGAGGTACATGTCTGGGAAACGTGGCAGCTTGTCATTAGGTGCGATGGAGTTGAAAGTGTCTGGAAGATGACCTAGTTTAAAAACTGAGAGAGAGGACGGAGGGTTGTGGGAAGCTGCTGTTTTCTTTTTTACAAGTAGAGAAAAAATCCTCAACCTTGAAGGGATGATGAGCTACTTTTGTTCCTCAAAGGAGCGATAGTGTACATAAGAAGAGGTGTTGGAGGGATTACAGCTGGAATGGAATCAATAATGGATTAATATTACCCATAACCAAAAAATTTAATTAGCAGCAGTGTGCTGTAGACCACACAATTATGGGAGGCGACTAAAAAAAAAAAAAGAAGTTGAAAACAAGCTCATAAAAAGCCAGAAGTTTTCTTGTTGGTGTGTTGGAAAATCAGACCTTATCTTACTTAAGCTGCATTAAATGAAGTGAATAAAACCCAGCACATTTGTGGGCATACTTTTAAGAAATATTTACTTTACAAGAAACAGTTCTTTGAATCAAACAATGCAGCTAATTGTAAATGGTTCTTTGGAGGTATTGCTCTAAAGAGCATATATTACCATAAATTACCGTTGGCCATAAATTAGCTGATTTTACAGTTGGGATTCTGCTCATACCAGGTGAATTGGTTGAAACTGTAAAAGAGAACGAAAATGGAAAGTGCTAAATCTGTTCATGATGTTTCTGGAATATTAAAGTACTTTGGTATGTTAGGACTGAACAGGGTGAAAAGGAGATGCCTGTAGGAGAAACAAAGTGTTTAAAAGTTAGAGGTAAGGAAACTGTAAAATGAAGGGTATAGGAGGATAAGAGGGTATAGTGATTTTTAAATTTTTTTAATTATACATGAAATTAGCTGGAGAGAGAAGATAAACAATAATTGCTCTGAGATCTCCAACAGCAGTGGGAAGAGTCCACAAAAGGAACACTGCAAAAGGAAACATGTAATGAGATATATTTGTATTACTTTTGAGTAGTACTTTCACAGATAAGTAAATTTTTAAAAACTCTGAGATTTACTATTTGAGAACACCATAAAAGGTTTCATGTTGTCATTAATGTCTCAGCCTGGTTCTGCTTGGAGCATAAAGGAACGTAAGATGAAAAACAAGTGCACAAGACTGGAAAGATGACGTAAATCATGGCTCTAGCCACCTGGTCCTGCGGGCAGCTACAGCACATGTCTTTGTTATGGAGCACCTCATAAAGATACTGAGTTGTTTGTACCACCAGCTCTGCTGTTCCTCACTGCAAGGGTTAGAAGTTACACTCACTCCCCAGCCTACTTTATGGTCTTCTGCTCTTGCAGTCTGAAGTTCAAACAGCTGAGGGTTTGGTCCTGCACACACCTCTTGCTCTCCTGCTCTCTCTCGGGAAGCAAAATGCACAGGATCCTCCAAATTCCTGCTCTTCCAACCACATTTTTTTCCTCCTATTTTTTTTACTCTGTGGAAGGATGGAAGCTGGCTGTGTATTGGGAGAAAACACAAGTGATTTAATTTTCGACATGGACATGTAAAATTGCATATGTTGTTGAGTTAGAGTAGATCTCTAGTGTCATAGAATCATCGAATGGTTTGGGTTGGAAGAGACCTGAGAGATCATCTGGTTCCAAATCCCCTGCCACAGGCAGAGACGCCTCCCACCAGAGCAGGTTGCTCAAAGCCCCGTCCAACCTGGCCTTGAACACTGCCAGAAATAGGGCAGTGTCCACAACCTCTCTGGGCAGCCTGTTCCAGAAGTCATCCTGAGGAATAGAGGGAGCACAGCTCATGTCTTAATAGCCCTCAGTCTGCTTTGTGTTCACATCAGAAGGGTTACCAAGGTAGAAAATGAATGTTTTGATCAATCTTTGAATATAACACAGGGAAAACCAATCTTCTGCTATTTGCACATCCTTCCAACATCTGGTGAGTTGGAAAGTTGTATACAAAGGTCATGGCAAAAGTCTTTAATTAAACTGTCTTGTGTAAGTTGAATGGGAAAAAACCAAACCCTTTAATTCAGAAGGAAACCATAAAATCTGAATATCAGTATGGCCTGGATTAAAGCACACTGATTTTGTAGCCGTAGCAACTTTCTGTGCAAGCCCCTATTTTGAGAAATGGAGTCAAGGATAAGATTATTAAAACATTCCTCATCTGATTCAGTTGTGATAGTAAAGGGTGTAATTTCTTTGTGGCTTTATTAAATATAACAACAAAGCTAAACCCAGGTGTTTCTTTTTGTTGTTTTCCAAAGGATTCATCCCCCTGAATTCTTCAAGAACAAATACGCTGTGGATGAAGTACACTATGTGACTGAGGTGAGTTGTCTGTGTGTCTTAATATTTTTTCTGTGAATACAAAATCAATATGTCGCAGTGATTTTGCTTAATTTTAGTCCATATGTAATTCTGATGTTTCATGGGGAGAAAAAGAAAAAGTGGAATTGATAGTTTTAAACCTCACTGCCATATGATTTCTTTTGTTAATGTTATTAATGTGCTATTAAGCTAATTTCAAGTTGTCTTCTGTTCATTGCCTCGAGATATCTGTAATTCAGTGCCCATCTTCCTGCAGCTTCTTTGAAAGCCCAGTTCTCTACAAGCCCACTGATTTTGTTCTTAGTTTGTAAATGTCTGAAAGATACTAAAGTAGCCTACTAGAATTATTAGTCTGTAAAAGATGGCCCAGTAAGAATAACAGTCAATATTCATTACTAAGTAATTAGCACATTGTAACATAATATTTATGCTTGTGTGGTTTCTATGCAGTATTGCGTTGAGGGTAGAGTTTCCTGTTCCTTATTTCTGTTGACATTACAGCTTTTTTTGGCTCATATTTCCTCTGTCTTCTAAATTATAATAGTAGACTTAAGTTCATATTTATGTCTTTAAAGGACGCCAACTTAAGCACCGCGCTTCTGTCTAAAAGTTTTGTGATCTACTGACTCTTGTTGCATGTCTCAGGTAATAGTACAATATCTGAAAGACATCAGAAGAGCAGTTTTGTCTTTGCAGCTCGTTTACACAGCAAATGTTGATGAAATTGGTATCAATAGGCTTATGATGAAGAAAAAAAAAATAATAGCAACCTAAAACTTCTTTTCAGATATCCAGTGTCTTGGCTTCAAAGAAACCTGCTGTGCTTCTTACTTTGGTGAGTCATATTATTCTAAAGAATAACTACTAATTTTCTTCAAGAAGGGGAGCAGTCTATTTGGCATTTCTCTGCACTGTCGTTCCCTATCTTCTCCATCTTTGCCAAATTTGTGGCCACCTGTTTATAGTCATCTAGTCTTCTGGCCTCTTCATGACTTTGAGATTTGTAACCTCTGGCCTTCCAGTCTCTATTCTCTCTGCCAAAAGCATTATCTTCTGGTAAAATATGACAAGCTTATCTGATGTCAACCGTGCTGTCTTCCAGCCTACGGATAATGACTCCAAACTCCTTTTTACTTTTATGCTGCTCTGGTAATGTCGTGAGCATTTTTGGACCTTTCTGTGGGTATCCCACAAGGATTCAGGGAATACTTTTTCTGCATAGAGTGGGTTGGTAAGAATAACTTCTGGGAGGGATTGATATCAAACGCCTGTCAAGTATTTGAAAGATTCTTGCATATTTCTCTGGAAGAAAGATGAATGAGTAGAGGTAAAACCTCCAAGTGTCTTCTTCCCTGTCACCTTGCCACCGGTTGTTTTCCTTGACAGATGTTTTGTAAATCTCTCACTATTAAGAGTATCTTATTTCTTGTCTCCAATCTATATACAAAATGTTTTGCTGACTCTGAGCTTTCCTGTACAGCAAATGCAGTAGCAGCTCCAGGATTTCTTGGTTTCCCATGATAGTTACCAGACAGAAGTCTTAAGGAAAAATCCCTCCTTAAGCAGTAACGTAGCATGAGATCCAATTTCTTTATCCATTAAGAACAGAGGCCCTAAATAGATTTCAGTCTTTCTTCCATTTTTATTTGTATATGCACACACATGCATGTAAAATACGACCTTCCTTCAATGTTTTTTAAGAGAAATGAGTGGGAAAGAGAATACTTGTTCATCTTGTGCTTCTTACTGTGCATTTCTGCACGCAGAGTTGTTGACTAGCATCCTGATATAATCAGGAATTTTCATCTAATTTTTGACTGAGATGATGGAGCTGTGATGCTTTCACATACGTCCCAATGCCATGAAAAAGTGAGAGAAGAGATGAGCACTTCTCTCTCCTCTGGGTGAATGGAAACTTGGTCCTCTCCTCCGATGCTCTCATTCCAGATACAGGACTGTAACGCTGCTCTGCAGGGTTTCCCAGGCACACGTCAGAAGTGTTCATCTGCTGTATAGCAGCCAAAATACTCTTGCTTATGCTACTTGCTTGAATGGAAAGCTGTAGGGGAGCAGCATGCAAATTTAAATAGTAAGCATTGCCAAGGCAGTCTGTAATAGCTTATTTTTAAATGAAATTACATTAGAAAAAACTTTGCCCATTTGTTATTCTCTTGCCCTTTAATATTAAATGAGTCTCCTAGCTATCTAGAATTAGAAATCAAAGCTTGCCACTTTCGTAAGCAGCACATCCTAACCAAAGTTCTGTGCTGGTCTCCTATGAAACCAATGATTTCTTATATTGGTCTGCATTTGAACAAACAGTATATTTTTAAAATTTATTTATAGTGATTCAGGAAACTTATTTTAAATAAGTTTCCCTAAGGACTTACTGCAATCTGGTTCTCCCTATGACTGAAATTTTAAATACCTGTGTTTGGCTCAGAATCATGGTCCTTTTAATCTTTTCCCCCTCAGCGTGGTGTTAATACTGATAGCGGAAATGTCTCCAAAGAAGCTTCATTTGAGGGAATCAGCCAGTAAGTGCCAATTGTTGCATGTTAATTGTATATATGTATAAATATATGTTAATTGCTGCATGGTTACGTTGAATTCATTTTATATTTCATGGTAAATGATGTTTTTTTCCTAAAGACAGGGTGCTGAATGGCAGACCACGTATATGGATGTATCTTTGACATGTTTCTAATGACTTGAAATACAGTGGTGTGTCTTTTGGGGAGACTCTTTTGCATCTAAGATCATCCAATATTTCTTTTTCTCTGTGTTTGTTTTAAGTATCTAGAATCAGAGCCCTCCCCTTACCTCCATTTCCACTTTGGGGATCGGAATATTTGATTTTCAGATTTCAGTAAAACTGATCTTTAAGAGTAGCTTCTTTCTCTTACTGAGTTCCTTGTACAGTATTAAGGTAGGTCTTAGGGATTCTGGTGTGCTCAATCTTCTGAAAAGATGTCACATCACAGATACAAGATCACTTTTCAGCCTAGATATGATGTTTTAATGTTCCTTGATTTTGTCTTTTTCTGAAGTTTGGCTACTGATGGAGTGGAAATGTCTTCCTGCATGTGGTGTTTTGAAAACGTAGTAAATAAAAATACATTACACTCTCCTCTAGGATGTGAGGATGATGGCCTCAATTTTGAATGAAATACAACTTCATGTTCTCTTATGATATCCTAAAATGAGAAAATTTTCCATTTTAGCTCAACTATATGGCAAAAAAGAAATACCCCTCCCACTAAAAAGCTTGTTATATTCAGTTAGGTGACTTTTTTTGGTGATACTTGTCACCCCACTGTTATTTTTGTCCATCCGCCTCTGTCAACAGCACATGAATTCTGCAGCAAAGATTGTAATGCAGAGAATATGCTGCGAGTCTGGACACTCGTTTGTATAGTTGGAAAGCACGCTTTCTGCTGGGATTGTCTTTTCTCTGTGCCATTTGAACTGAAATGTGGAACCCGATTCCAGAATTACTTACTTCTCCCCTCTATAATCTAAATGAAACCTTAATGATTCTGTCAGGGATATTGGGGATGAAGGTGGCAGACGTTTAAAGATCTTTTGCTGTCCAGTGAGTTAAATACAAAGTGTTCCAGAATCCAAGCAAGCCCTTTTTAATGAATATTTGGTCTCCTTTCTGCTGTTACAGCAGTATGATGTTCTGTTGCTTTGACCAAGTAGCTGCTCAGCTGTCTCACGCTCTCCAGGTACAGATGGACTTCAAAACCTGTGTGGACTAATACCTCCAGTTTTTCTAAGACACCTCTGCATGAAATACCAGTGGTCACTAAGTCTAGCAGTAATTCTTTATGGGAACGATGTACAAAAGTCTGTCTAAAATACCAAAAAAGCCCTTTTTCTCTCTGAATTACACTAAACACTAGAGTTTAATTAGTAACATATTCTGTTACCAGTCAACATTAAGCTAGGAAGCCATGCCATGCAGCACTTGATTTGAGGTTTTAAAAGCATGTTTCTTGCAACACTTTAAAGGATTAATGATATTTATTTGTTTACTGCAAACTGCCAGTGATAAATTTCAGCATTCCTGTTTTCCTGCCTCTCCACTTCTGTATCAAATGTTTCCTTTGTAGAAATGGATATATTTCAGATGTACTGATTTCTTCTGAGATGACCAAAACTATTTCAAGTTTATACCAAGCAATGTGTTCCTTCAGACTCTTCTCCCTCCCACCTGCACCGTCTTGGGTTCCCTGTCCTTTGCTCTGCCCTGGCTGTTTGTGATGGCAAGGCCCGTGATGCTGTGCTTTATTCGTGGGTTCTTGTTTGTTTCCGTTTTCTGGCTTCGTGGCCGAGATGTATTTGCTTGCTCGGACCCTTTCGTGTTGCTCCTGCTCCCATTTGTCTTTTTTCTTCTAGACTGGCTGTACCCATGCATTTTTATTTTTTTTTCCCCAATGGATAATAACAGAAATCATAGAATCATATCATGGCCTAAGCTGGAAGGGACCTTAGAGATCATTTTAATCCAGCCTCCCTGCCGCCAGGGACGCCACCTCTCGACTAGATCAGGCAACACATGGGGACCGAATTGGAATCGAAACCCCAACGTTAGCGTTGTTAGCGCTACGCTCAACTGACTGAGCTAACCGGCCCCCTATATAATATATCATTTCCTGTAAAAGCTGAATCGTGGTCTCTTTGCAGGCTGTTCATCTGCTCTCGTTAGAAGCTGCTTTTTTGTTGCCCTAATGATGTTGCTTCTCTGGTTTACTTTTTGAACCTTTTGAACTTCTTCTGGAACGTAATTACCTGAACTACTTGATTAATTTTTTCCACTGCAATAAGTAGTTATTTGAGACAAAATGATTGCTCTGGTCATGAGTTATTTTTGTGCTTACCCCGAAGATCGCTCCTAAGTTTTTTTTGTTCTGCTAGCAATGGTCAAACTTGATTTTATGCTGATTATAGAGCCCGTAATAATGAATTATTTCATGGTTTCCGTCGGATAATGTGTAGCACTTATATAATGAAGAACATGTTGCTGCAATCTGTAAAAATGGAGAGTGGAGGTAGTTGGGAAGTCAGTGGGTAGTGCTGTGGCTCAGTGGAGGGAGCAGGCTCGGGCAGGGACTTGGGGTGGGAGACCTGGACTGTCTGCTAGTGTCATTCCTGGTGACTCCTCTCAGGTCAGCTTTGGTGACAGCTGTTATAGGAGTGACTTGCTCACTTGCTTCAGATGACTTATGTGTAGAAGGCTGATTTCTAAAGGAGTTCTAGCTTTGTTTTCTAGAAATACGTATTTCTGTTTGCTAGTAAAGGCTAGTTCCATTGGTTTTTTATTTTTTTGTTTGTTTGGGTTTTTTTAATTAATGGTCCCATTTTTCAGACTGGAAAATGTGCAGGAATTTTTAAAATCTAATCATGTTATGTAGCACTTGTAAAATGCTTTGAGATGATGTGATTCACCATACAGAAAGTGGACTTTGAACCTGTGTGGGTAGACAGTAATGTGCCATGTACTTTAGAACACTGTTGAGTAAATCTTTGCTCACAGTGTTGGGCTTTCTTTTTTTGTCCTCAGACTTGATTGATGTGAATGATGGGCAGTTCAAGCAATTGTACCTAATATTTAAAATATTTTAGTTAATTCTATGCCCCCAGAACTGCACTTGGGTGCAACAGCAAAGACCGTCTAAATGGCCTCTTCCCGGTTGCATAGCAGAAAGAGTCTCCATGTTGCAGAAGAGTGGAAAATTCTAACATTGTGTATGAATATGTTTTAGATTTTTATCACCATATACACACACAAAGTGTATTTGTGAAATTGAGGAGAAAGGGTCTCATTTTACAGTGTTGTTATACAGGAGGTATAGATTTCTATCTTTTTTTAAACTAATGAAATTGTCTCGCATATTAAAGGACATCTGAGTATGAAATCTATTTGCACATGCCTTTCAGTGGAATATTTCTTAGTCCTGTGTTGTATTAATGCTCCCATTTAATCATTACAGATTGCAACTGTAGCAAAATGTCGATTTGCTTTCTTCTGCAAGACCACATACCTCATCCTCTAAGTATTGTCAATTTGCAAATTGCAGGAAAATGTAGAATTGGGTTGCTCTGCATGATCCTTTTAACATTAGGGCAGGACATGTTTTTCAAGAATAAGTTGTTTGTTCTCTAACAGAATCAAAATTTTCCTGGGAGGATAAGGTAGGGTGATTTTTATTTAGTACTTTGTGCACAGATTATGGGAATTAAACACCATTCCTTTATTTCTGTTAGTGATGACAAGCTCTTCCCCTCAAGCTTGTTATTAACCAGTTAACTTTTAGGATGTGGTTTGTTTAGCTTGTTGGTAACTAAAGTGAAGCATAATTTGAGTCAGTATCTTTAGAAGTCTAGCAGTCCTGAAGGGCCATCCCTGTGGCCACTTGCACAGGGCTCACAGATATCTCAAAATAAGCAGAGTTGAGATAGTTCAATCCTTCATTGTTGGCTTCCTTGAAGAAGCTACAAACAATAGATCAGATTCTCTTCCAAATCTGAATTGGTGCTGTGTTCTGGAGGTCTAAGATCTTGTTTTATATTTGATGTTATATCAGAAAGTCTTGTGTTTTCAGGTGAGAGGTCAAACTGCCGTTCAGCTGATGACCTCCTGCCTCTCCTCCAGCTCCTCCCAGCACCCTCTCGATTCAGTCCTTTTGCCTTTCTGTATGTTTAATTAGCTTCCCCAATTGAAAGCAACTAGAATTTCGAGGAGCTGCCACATAGTAGATGATTCCAGACAGTAAGTAAAACTTGGATTTCTGGCAGAAAAAATACAATGCAAGAAGAGCTTTTGGGGCCAGAAGGGTAAAATCCAGGGACTGTGACAGAGATGGTACATCTCTCGGCTGAAATTGCTTTTAGAAAAGAACATGATTTGACATATTATAAGCCTATACTCGTGTGTAATTTTTTCCTTTTTTTTTTTTTTTTGATGCTCAGATGAAAGAGAGTCTTCTCTTGTGAGGTTCCTGTTTGGCTCATTTGATTTGCTTTCAGTTTCACCCATTCGTGCTTGTGGTTAAAGTGAGCATGTCAGGTTCTTGAGAGAAGAAATGTGAATATTCAGGATCTAAGTCAGCTGCCTTCTGCACCTGCCCTTGCCTGCCCTTTATTTTGTTTTGCTTTTTCATAATAACTGTAGTTTATACTTGTCTTATTTGCATAGAGCTGGCGTTGGAACTTTGTGCGGTGCTGCAGTGTCTCCTTGCACTTGCCTTCGTTGATTTGTTCTCTGCCTGACGTACTGATGACAATTTTTGAAAGGCCTTGTGTTTGTTGTTGCAGCTGAATTCTGTGCCTTGTTTTTCTGTGGTGGTGTCAAAAAAGCTCACGCTTTTGTGGCTTTTTAAAATTTTCACAAATTGATTTTACTGTGTAATTTGTATATTTTCTTTTGTATAAATTTGTGTTTAACTGGCTCTTGCATTCCAGAATTATTTCTCCACTGGTGTAGATAGGTAATACTTGTTGGGATGGCGATCAAATTGAAAAAGTGCCCCTTTTCCCTAATTTTACAAGACTTTCTTTTTTCCAAGTGACCACCTTCATTCTATAATGACACATTGTTCTGTAACTTCTGGTTTTTTGTATTGTGTTGCTTCTAATTAATACCCAGTATACTGAATACCATACAAGTTGTACTTGCTGGATGTTGCGATAAGTTCTTTTCTGTCTTGGAGTGGGAACACAAAGCTATTAACCTTCACCTTGTTAGAATTTTATAAGTTTATGAGCGTAAGGTTTTGAAATAGAGAAACACAGGGGTTTGTTTTCTGCAATCTGACGTTGCAGGAAGACCCTGGTACAATTAAAAGTGACTTCTAAATAATTTTATTAATTGGATTTGTGCTTTTGTTGGTCCCTTCTGAGGTATAAAGAATGGTTAATAACCTGGAATAATTTAATTTTTCCTTCAGAAATGTGGGAGGATGAATTGTTGCTGTGTAACAATCTTCTGAAGATCTGTCGGGAGCCTTGGAGCATTTAAATTCTCTTAAATGCCCTAACTTAAGCCAACAGCCCTGAGTCAGACAAAAATATCTGTAATGCAGAAAGCTCCTTAGGCATTTAAATTGCAAGCAAAAAACCTTGAACAATGCCTGAAAATCCATTTGTCTTCCACTTAATTACTCAACTTCTTACTCTATTGGCTACTGTAATGTTATTGTTTAGAGAACCTCAAAATAGTTCCAAGAATACATGAATTGCTAATGTAGAAAATAAACAGAGAAGTATTTGTTTGAGGCCAAGGTGAGATGGAAGCTTTCGCTTTGCCTCTTCTTTAGATTGGAAAAGACAAGGAGAGATTTCAGACTTTCCATAGTCCTCTGAGCAGCTTCACATTTTGTCTTTGTTAAAAGAAGTTTAATAAACATGTCTTGAACATACCCTTTCTCCAGTTTCTGCACATTCTTAAAATTATGTATCTGATTTAGTCTCATGTTTCACAATTAAATACTTGCACAGTGAAGATGAACGTGTATATTCTCCTCACAGGGATCTGTACTGAATTCCAATATAATATTTGCATTTGCTTTCACAGGTTTTCACATCCACAGAGAAGACAATTCAAAAAAAAAGAACAAAAAAAGTAAATATATAATCTCTGTGCGTCTGGCTGGTTTTTAATCTTTATATTTTGGGGTTTTTTTCTAGATTTAATGTGAACAACAAAATTCTTCATCCTGAAATTGCAGAATGGTGAGTAGCATAAGAATCTTTCTCTTTGAGTACTGTTGAATGTGCTTGTCGTCTGTGCCATCACTTCAGAGGAATTTTGTCACCAGAAACCTTCAGCTTTACTATATGCATTTTAATTTTAAGCTGATTTCATGTTACAGGGTGGAAATAAAGTATTGAAAAGTGAAGAATGTAACTTTTTTTTTTAATGCAACTGTGTCTGAATATACATATTTATAGAATATGTTAGGAGTTAAGTCACATTTGTGTAAACGTGAATTTGTATGAATAGAAAAAGAACCGAGGATGATTCATATTCTAATAACGAAAATCAAAGGTAGATGAAAATTGTGTCTGAACAGGTAGTGTTTAATAAGGTGTTATTACTTCTCCAGTATGTTTTTAACAGTATTAATTTTGTCAAATTATTATTCATTTAACTATACTTTGTAATTCTAGGGAAATTCTGCTGCAGCCTATCTTGAATAGACAAAGTTAGAGTGTGTGACTCAGTGTATTAGTAAATTGCAAATCTGCTGCGTTTTATCAGTTTTCCTCTTGGTCCACATTGCTGACTTTATCCTCAGGATTGCTCCATAAGTAGGACTTTCTGGTTTTCCATTTAGAAAATTAACTGAAGAAACAGCATAGTGGATTTTTGTTAATGAATTGGGCTTTTATCTGAGCTTTTTCAGTGTATTAATCTAGAAACGAGGAAGCAAAGCAAATCCTTACTTTAAAACACATAAACTTGAAATCTTAAAATACAAACAGGAAAGTGTGTAGTCTGGCTACCCCTTTTGTAGCTTATTGTATTACATGCTACTACAAATTATTCTTTTTAATGTTTATTATTAGCACATATGCTGAGAACAATCTTCTCCTGTCTTCATGTGCATCTAATTGCCACCTTGAAAACTGTGGAAATGGTTTTTTTGAACATCAATGTCGTTTCAGGACGTGTAGACATTTAATAGGTCATATTCCTGTTGTTAACAACTGTTTTTCGTTACTTGGCATAACACGAAGTTGTAAAAGGAAAGCGGGAAGTGAGGAAGCCTTGCTTAGCTGTCGTTGCATCACTGAGTTGTGAATGAACCTGGAGATGTGTAGAAGTGGGACTCATTGCTTGCAGAAACTGCTGATGAGTGTAAGGGGGAATGTGAGTGCTTTGTAACACCAAGGGCTCAGGGTACCTGGTTTTACATGTTGTCTATTCTGTCATTCTAGAATTTGGACCCTTTATTTTCCAAAACACAGAAGTTACCACATAGAATTGGTTTCTGAATTTCCAAGTTGGTGGGTGCAGCCTTTGAGGTGCAAAGTCCAGAAATCAGTGTGTAGGAATGTACTTTTCAGAGGCACAGGTGTCAAGGAGCAAGAACGGGGATGTTCAAAGCTCCCAAGCTTTGATCTGTAGACAAAGCAGCACTACAGGCAAAGAGATGACAATTTTAGCTGCAGGAGACTTTGGATTAGGACTACAAGCTTGTTCCCAAATTAGCTTTCGTTCTGGTTCCACTTACCTTACAGAGGTGTCACCTGCTAAGCTTTTCTCCTCTGTCGCTTGGGGAAATGGAGGGTTAAATCTTCTTCAGGAAGCTCAGGAATGGATAAAGGTGAGGTCCGTGCCCTGTGGTTGTACTGAGATAGATGGAGCATGAGGCAGTAAAAGGCAGTACTTGGAGCTGTTCGTTTTGGTGGAGGGAGTATCTCTTCTGTGAATTCTGAGTGCTGGTCTGGAGTTCTGATACTTTCCTCCCTGCAATCTCACGCGGAGAGATGCTTGGTGTGCACCTTCCCTGCACTTGGCTTTCCAGGGAAGGGAGTTCTACATGAAGCCGAAGTTCAGATTTTCATTCAAAAGGGTGTTCAAAGGTTTTATTGAGTTTGACAGGTTTGATTTTAAGTCATAAGTGTGTTAAAAACTGTTGCTAGGATTTAAGTGTCTGGTGAAATCAATGTATGTATGATGGGTGTATTAAAATTTCTTAGAGAATTCCTTGGAATGTCAAGTTACTGCCCAAGAAACTTTAATTGGAAAACAATTATATTTTTAGAATTAAGAATATTTTTCTTTTAGGAGGATGAATTTTGGGTGGATTTTATTCTAGAGTAGGTACTTGCTTCATTTGAATCATATGCTTGCATGGATGCATATAATTCCAAATTCAGCAACTTCTGAACTACTCTGTTTTACATGATACTTGTCAGAAGAACTCTGATCTATACCATGCTGTCAAAGCTGCCAGCAAGAGGTGAATTGGCTCAGCTTTGTGAACCACGCAGGGAGAACTGCGAGCTACAAAAGACAACTCTAGTATTATACAGTCTTCTAATAAAATGCAGAGAAAATGATTCAATACTGACAATGGACAAAGATTTTGTGATTAAGAGTGTTGCCTGCCTTGCTTACTCATCCTTTTTCAAGAGAGCAACATTTTCTAACTTGCTATGAAACCTGAAGATAAAACATATAAGAATTTGACCTTAAACTGCATTTCAGCAGTTTGCAAAGTGTTTTCTCTTTTTTTTTTTAGAGTGAATGTGTTTCCAAACATGACACTTGTTTTAAATTTCAAGGCTCCTATTTCAGATGCTGAATGTATATGCCAAGTATTGATTTCACTATTTTGAAGGGAAAATGTCATCTAACAGAAGACAGACTCTAAACTTGTCCAAATTATCTCCCTAGTAATCAGAAGGAAATTTTTCTACACTAGCATTTAGCAAAATGGCCTTTTGTTACTTTAGTATACCAATGTCTATCATAATTGCATGGTGGTAGAAGATAAATGTTTACCAATGTACAGCTCGTTTTATGCCTGTATGTACTGCATTTTCTTGTAACATCTGTGAAAATGGGATTTGATAATTATGTGGGCAAGATTTCATATAGTCTGTATTTTGTGTTACTTTAAGGGAAAGCTGTAATTGTGATCCGTATTGTTAATGTCTTAAAGCTTTTTGTATGTTGAGAGATTTTTTTGTGTTGTAAATCTTGTAACATCTTTTTGAACTGTTTCAAGATGGAACTCCCACCCTTCCAACATAAGCCATTCTGTGATTCTATGATTATTATGTTTACTGGCTTTGATGCTAATTCATTTAGCAAGTTTTTCTATGAAAGCTTGTAGAAGGGCATAAATATGTCAACGATGGTAGAGAAATATATATAAATAAAATGTGGAAAGGTAACAGCACAGGTGAAAAAGGTTGAAGACAAGGCAGGACTGCAGTGTATCTGCGTCGACAGCATCTGTACTTCCTAGGTGGTCTATAAAAATAGTGTTTGCTGCACGGCAAGGAGGAGTGGGCGTACCCAGGTGTTTTCCACTTGTGTCTCAGAAAACAGCCATGAAGCTTGCACACGTGTACTAAAATCAACAGAACAAGTCAGCTGGTAAACATGGAGTTGATAACTGGGAACAAATACTTCTGGTGGTGTGATCCAGAATGGTGAATACATGTAGAGAAGGCAATTGTGTATCTTTGAGGAAAGCAGTGGTTTAGGAAAATGTAGTTGAGTTATACAAGTTTCAGCCTCATAATTGCCTCAGATTTTATATGCTCCTGATCACTTGACTAATGGAAAAAAGGTTGTGCATGCAATTTGGTATCTAGCCACTTAAAATGCCCAAAATTAATCTCAGGACTAAAATGATACTTGTTTTAATTAAAGCTTCTTTCTTCTGTTGAATGACGGACATGCATGGAAGAGACCACTTGCTCATGTGGCAAGTGCAAATAAAAGCAAAAAGTGTATGTAAAATTCGATGAAGGAAGAAGAAATGCTTTTACACTGGTAAAATGAAAAGAAAATAATACAGGCTAATCCTGTAGAAGTAATCCTGTAGATAGTAGAAGACTTGCGTTTCTATTTTAACTTGATTGCATTGAGTGGCTCTCCTGTTCATCTTAGAACTGTGTTACATGCTGACTCTGTATGTTTTTGCAATTGTATTAGCTGCAGCCTGGGAATTATTTGCTCCAGTTAAAATATTAATGAGTGTGTAACTGGTCCAAGAGCTGTTTTTAATAGAACACTGAAGTTTGCATTTGAACAAAGGTGGGACTTTGTTTCTAGCCTTATCTTGGAAATAGGGGAAACCACCATGAGAACTATGAGCACTCATCACCTGCAAGACCACCCTCCTATGCTAACCACTGTGCTCGACTAGCAATACTTTAAACTTGACTTGGAAGAGTGTTGCTTTTTATGCCATCAAAACAGTGAGTAGGGGGTGAAATACTTGCCCTTCTACTACCCTGATATGCTGGTGGGAACTCCATCAGCAGCGCCACTGCAGACATCATAGCAGCTCAGTGACTGTTTGGTTTCAGTATCTAGGGGAGGGCGAAGTTTGTGTTCCCTGCACAATCGTACATCCTCCCTCTCTTCCCTACCAAAGGTTGGGTAGTGGATTTTGTTGATCTCAGAATAACTAAACGTTTTATATAAAATGTTTCAGTGCTTGACCTTGTGCAAATCACGGTGATGCATTGCATAAGAAGTCTGTCTGAGACTAAGTGTGAATTTCTATGTGCAAAACTGATACCTGAAAACTTGCGATCTAAAGTAAATACCTTGACCCTTAGGACATAATCAAGTAAAATAGGTTCTAATACTGTTTGCACTTGCCGTTGCACAGTTACTAACTTGTATTACCAGCAGATCCCAGTAAAGAGATTAGACAACTGAATTACGAAACAGCCTATTTTTCAGGCACTTGCAGATCAGAGATATGTACTGTATATTGAAAGTAATATAAAGGCACATCAAACAAGTATTAAATTACCCTGCTAGCACATGCAGTCTTCCGAAGAACAGGATTTAAAAAAAAATAGCTATAGGCTTTTGCTACCTCATTCTAATATGAATATATTTGAGCTACTGTTCGATATGTCTTGGCTGAAAGGCAGAAGCAAAAGTTTGTTTCTTCACCCATGGTGAGCAGATTATACCATCCCAGTGTAATTTTTTCACCTCACTGCATTTTAAAACCTTGCACTTCTCATTCTCATTGTGCATAATGATTATTTTGTGTCACATTCCAATTGGCTAAAAATGTCAATCCATTCTCCTCTACAGTGTTTCTATTTGTAAGAACGTTTTGATTGATAACCAGCGTTTTTACAAAAGTACCTCTACTTTCGCCATAAAAGTTGTGTTTGAAGAGGGGTGGCTGTGCTGCATAGTGATGCAGTTGCTATCTGTGGGAAATGCTCTTATAACACATCAGAGGCGCTGATGGCTGAGAAACCTGTTTCTGGACTCATTAAAACAAGCTACAGGAGCAGAAATACAGTAAATAGTTTTCTACAGCAGAGTGAGTAGGAGCATGTTATAATAAAAAAGAGGTGTCTTAGTAGCAGTTTCAAAATGTAACAGTTATAGTACTCCCTAACTGCTGCAAGCGCTGGAGCTGGAAAATACAATTTAAATATTTTCATGCAATTCAATAGATATAGTTTTGTTCTTTGTAAACAATAAGTATGTACTTCGTGGCTACCTCCTTGATGGGCATGAGAAATATTAGGAAACCAGTATGTGTAGCAGTGGAAAAAGTAGCTAATTTTTAATACAAAGTATAGAACTATCTTTGCTTCCCTGTCCATGTCACACTTAATAGTGGCTTTTATTTGAAATACATGGTAGAAAGCAGGGTATGTAGGTCAGAGTTAAATGGTAAATTTTTGAGATGAGTTCAGAACAGAGTATCAAGGCTCATAAATAGACACAAATCCAGTATTTCATAAGGCATGAGGAACAGGATGGGGTTTTGAGGGGTTTATTTGGTTTGACTTTTTTCTTCCAGAAGCACATGAAAGAGAATGGACATTGTGGCTGTAATTAATGTTACTGTAATTTCTGAATTTCGTGATTTGATTTTTTTTTAATAGCAAACAGAAAAAGCGTTTCTTCACACCCTCCTGGCCTCCATGCCTTTTGAGCTATTGCAAATAGGTGGGAGTTGAGATTGTGCTGAATAGGAGTTCTGGAACTCTGGGAATGTCATGTAAACTAGTTCATATTGTGTTTGAAAGGTAAATCAAGTGTGCTTGTACAAATATTCTGTTTGGAAAAGTGTTTAAACCATGAGAAATGCAGAATTGCATTTGGTATTAAAATAATGCAAACTGATGTTTGAAATGCTTGCTCTTCGCTCTTGAGGTGTACTTGATATAATTTTACCATAGATGATGCATATTATTTTCAGAGGGTTTTTTTTGTTTCATGTTCTTTAGTTGTGAAGTTGCAACCTAACCCACTATCTGTTCTACTTTTAAGTCGTGTGATTAAGACAGACATGGAGTTGGAAGTTCTGCGCTACACCAATAAAATCTCCAGTGAAGCTCATAAAGAGGTAATAGATCCTTTACTGTTAATAATTTTTGCTCTTAGTGTAGCAGTGGTACTCAGAAAATGTTCCCAGCAACCCCTGAATTGCTCAGTAATAAAATAATGGAAAGGCTGGGTAGAAATAAGAGGATAATATCCCTCCGATCATAGCCCAGTAATGTACCTTGCATTGTCCTTGAACTCGCTGGTGCATTTGTGATGTGTGAGAAATGAAGTGTGGTTTTGAGCAAGAGCTGGAGCCTCAGCAGAAGGTGACCTGCTTGCAATCCACCTATCCTGTGTGCACAAGTACTTGTGTAGTGATGGAGAAAGAAGAGATCAAGGTGATTGTTATTCTGGCCCGTGTCAGCACGTGCAGGTCTGAAAAGTTCACCTAGCAGGTTACTCTCTCCAGATCCTTACAAACTGAAGGAGTGTTTCCATGCACAATGGAGGATAGTGCAAGGATTCCATAGGTTGCCCCTCAGAGTTGGGTATGTCCCCCAGTACAGTGCCTCAGGATGCTGTTCTCTTGACAGCAGCGTGGCGAAGACAAATCCAGGCGCTCAGCAAGGCTACTCAGGTAGGACCTAGCACTGCACCAGCGGAATCATATTGCTTTACTGGTATTGATGACAAAATTAACCTGGCTGTCAGCCCTGTACTCCAGTTAGTGATGCCGCGATGCTGTGAGTTCTGAGCTACGACCAGAGGGAGCTCAGGTCAAAGTAGCTGATGAGGTTACTGACTCAAGTGTTTTCTTTGCTCCTGCTCTTCAGATTTCTGAACTGTGAAGTGTAGAACTAATGTGAAGTGAATATTGTAAAATTCAAAAACACGTCTGGGGACAGTCATTTGCATTCATTCTCCTTGGTCCTTCTTCATCCTTGAATAATCTCACATCTGAGAGCATTTCTTCCATAGAGCAACTGCCTAGAACTTTTATAGTACTGAAACAGCCAAAGGAATAAAACCAGCACACATTCTCAGCAAATCTGAGAACAAAAGTCAGACTTAGGGGTTGTAAAACTCTAGTAGTTTTCTGTCGATTCATACTGCAGAGTATAAAAGAGAATTTCCCGTTGTAGTATATTTCAGTTCACAGCTTTGTTTTGCTTGTGTTTTGTAAAAGTAAAACAAAAGGACTTGCTGCCAAGTTCACTGGAGCTTTCAGAATTAAACATTGGTATTTTGATGAGCTGCACTTCTTACGATATAGTGGTTTGGCAATTAAACTTGTTTTATGACTGGAGACTGCAGGCCTTTCTAAAGATTAAAATTAGTTTGATTTTTAATGTAGTTTTAAAATGCATCTACTGGTGTAAGTTTAAATGAAGTACAGATGATATTTTTGTAATATAGGTTCCTCTGGAGATACTCAGTCATTAGCCATAAATTTATAAATATGAGATTCCTGCCTGCTCTGAATGTCTCATGTTAATGTGTGTCTTACAGGTGATGAAGGCAGTAAAAGTGGGAATGAAAGAATACGAGATGGAGAGGTAAGAGTTCTTTCAATAATTGTAATAAAAAGGAAGAAGTCTCTCTAGTAGGGGTAGAAGCAAGAACTGAGGCCAAGTAGTACCATTGATTGAATTGAGACTGAGAGCTTGTTGCTCTGTGAAGACTATTGGAAGCATTATTTTATTATTTTGAGGTGGTACTTCATCAGTTTCAAACATGCGTTTGATGATGGTTCATTATTTTTTTGGTGATGGTGTAGTGTGACATAAGTCTCTTCCTGGAGTTTTAGTAATTTACAGAAGCTTTTGAAATAGCTGTTGTTATTGTTTGAAGCTATCCAATAAAACCATGTTTACGGATAAACATTGCCCTTATGCTTGTTATGCCTAGAAGACTGCATGTATGAGTGTTTAAGAGCCTTATAAAAGGCTATGTTCAATTACATTTTGCCTGCAATTACAAGTCAGCATTACCGGTACTTAGCCTGTACAAGGAGCTCATCTCACAAACGTAGTGGATGTTACTACAGCTGTTAAGAACTCACGAATACAGCACATATCTCTTATGTTGAAGAAGACATGCTGTACAGGCATATAAAAGGATTGGTCGCTCTGATACGATAGTGAGGCGTCTAGATACAAGGAAAACATTGCCTCCTCTTTAAAGTCAGTATTTACATTAGATCATCAGCAGCCTGTCTTATAAAGCACTTACACAATATTTTCAATTTTCAAAGTATCTATGTAACGAAGAAATAGAAGATGGCAGTCAGGTCTCAGTTATTAACTGTTTCTTGGCAGTAATTTCTCTAACGTTAGTAAACAGGCTAAATTCAGCACCCAGTGAGGGGAAAGTTAGGTGTTTGTCATCAGGATTTCAGTGTAGCTCAAAGGTCAAATAATACCCTTAGAACGTATACAATATGGAGAAACTACTGTTGCTTTTAAGCAGTTTAAATTTCTGCAGTCTTGATAGACTCCTGCCTGTAATTTGTGCTTCAAATTCCAGTTACATCACCAGGTGACAGGGGAAAACATTTGTTGTGTACATTCCCCCGTTAACTTTATTAGTGAACTTGTGTTTGTGTTTGGTTTACTCACTGCCCACGCTATACATACTGATAGTGGAATTTTGCCTCTGGAAGCCAATAGTAATCAAAAGTTTCCCTAGGGCAGAGTTTGTTCTCAAGTTCTTATAAATGTCATGATCCTGGCAGTTTGATTAAATGTCATGCAACAAATATATACATACATATATATATATACAGACATATATATATATGTATTATATATACACACAATTTTCTGTAAGTCTATGAGTTATGTTACATTTTCGCTCCAGGACTTTCATTCTTCTCTGGCTACCTTCTTCTCTACACAGCAACCTTTTGAAAAGATTATTTGTATCTTTCAATTAAAAAAAAAATTAAAAAATTAGGCAACTGTCTGTTAAACCTACTTAAAATTGCCTTCTGTTCTTACGTCTTGATAGATTACACTTCTTGAAAGGGTTTGAGGTTATTTCACTAATGAAAGAGGTCTTGGCAGACTACCTCAGAGGCTATAATTAGAACTTCAGTTGCTGTTCCATTACTAAGTAGGGAAAAGGGTCCTAAAAATGTAAACGTGTTGTTTCCTCACCTTTCTGGGAAGTAACGTGTATTTGAAATGTAGACGAAATTAAGAAACAGTCTAGGAAATCTTGACTCTGTGTGCAGATAAATGCATTAATGTAGCGTATGAAGGGAACTTTCAAAGACCTAAAAGTAGGTAACATCCAAAAATAGTCAGCTTTGGTGCATCTGAAATCCAAGAGTACAGAGAATGTATTCTTCATCTGTATAGATTTATCAGAAGTATTCACTCTTGTATTTAGGAGATCGATTTAAAGTTAATGAAGTTTTTAATTCTCTGATGTTTCTAGGGCTTCCACTCCCTTTGTGAAAGCTTTCTGACTGGTGTGGCCCTGTTCCCCAGGTGCATTTGCAGTTCCCACTGATGGCTGTGAAGTTGAGAATTTTTGAATTTAATATAGATATCTCTTGAAATGTGACGAGCAAACCTCTTTCCATGTTGCTTTACTTCATTCTTTGACGTGGTGGAGTGTAGTATGTCTTTTGGGGGTATAAAGCTGATCTGACCCTGTCTGCTAGGAAGAATAGCGTGAGAGATCCCAAAAGCAATTAAAATTTTCCATTACTACATGAAGGACCTACGTGTTGCCTTTTCTTTGTTCAGTCGGTCAAGAAGCCTTCCTACAAAAAATGAGTCATTTCACTTCTAACTTGTAATACAGCAAGAATATGTTAAAATATTTTAGGAAATGTATCTAAGTCAACAAAGCTAATTCTATTCCTAGGATTGGGCTTATTCTCTTAGAAGTAATTTGAAGGAAATAAGTAAATTATGGAGAAGTCTCTAGATAAGAGAGTGTCTTTTATTCTGAGGATTGAAAGCTAGCTTCAAAAATATGCTGGAAGTATTCTTACCACTGGTAAACGATTTTGAACCAGTAATGTGTTAATGCTGAGATATACAAAAATTGAATGCATTTAACTGCAGGTCCAGTCAGGCCTGACTTCTTTTTTTGGTTTGATGTTATTTAACTTTAATATGTGGTTAGTTGACTTTAAGGGGACAGCCAAGGCAATTATCTACAAACAGTAATTCACAGCATGTGTAATTGCATATAAAGTCATTTTGGTAGGTCAGATTCTGGATTTTCTCTGAAGTAGTTTATTTAGTATTTGTGCTTATCTCATGTTTAATTAATCTTCTTTAATTAAAGACTTAATTAGGAAAGTGCTCTGTAGTGAATATATTGTTAAAACACAACAAAATGATAAAAGGAGTCTCTTCAGCTTGAGAAGGATGTGAAAAAAATTTGTGATAGCAGCTAAGTTATTTCAAGTGTGTATATATAAACAAAAATATTTTATGTGTATATATATAGGGATGTGTACATACACAGTGAAAGTACTAATTAAGACCTACAATCGTTGGTTTCAGGATGCTCTAAATATCTGTCAGATACCTTCTCTAAATAGTGCTTAGCAATTTCTACTGTTGCATTGCATTTACTGGATGAAGTTTTGAATTTTCTGTGCGTTTTCTCCTTTGTTCCTGTTTTTTGTTGATTGAAGAGAACAATTTTGATATTGGGATGGCAAATTGGAGTTGCTGAGTTGATGTGGGAATGGTATGAAAGTGTGTGCTGTGGCAACAGAAGAGCAACTTTCTCCCTAAGTGGTGTTGGACCTGTAGCCACTGTGTGCATTATCTGCCTTTGTGGCAGTTTATCTTGTTCTTAAGGGCACTGAAGGCCCTATGATAGGAGTGTGGGCACAAACCTGAATTAATTAAATTATCCTGAAGTTGTCATTCCCTTGATGATGCTGGGCAGCGTTGGGCCAGACCTGAACACTCATTGCCTTGTCCAAGATCTCCCTGATTTATGTGACTGTCTCGGAACCCTCTGCGGCTGCTGAGCACAGGAGCGCCGCAGTGCTGCCATGCAAATAACTGTGATTCCAGAGTCCAAGAACTTGGCTATTTTAAAGCAGAGAAGCAATCAGTGGATGTAAAGGGTGGGTGCTGTGACATGCAGGGTCAGAGGTAGGTAACGGCACTTAGTGTGTTGTTTCCAGCAGTAAAAGCAGCAAAGTAAGAAGAATCTGACTGACTTGCTTAGAGTCTGTGTGATCCTATAGCTCTTGGGCACTGCTTAGGCACTGGTTTTATTGTTGGTTCTTATTATCAGCTTGCAGACAAAGCCTCTTCATCTCCGCCTGTCTGCTTTCCCCTCTATAAGGTTTGCCTGCATCTCTTCCTTACAACTTTAAATGTTTCAGTGCTAAGGCTGGAACAAGCGGTGGAGGGCAGTGTATGTGCCACAGGGCCTCGCAGGAGCTGGTTACCCCCAGGCAGCCGGAGGGTTTCCTGGGCCTGACACTGATTCCTCAGATGTGCTTGTAGAGGGGCGAGCTGGAGTTTGTTCAGAGCCTGTGCCAGGCAGGTCGAGCTGGTTGCCCAGCTGTGCAGAAGCCCCCTCCATACATCTCTTAGATCTGTACAGCCATACAAGTAATTGTGGGGATTTTGCAGTAATACTAAATTTAAACTCTGCTCTGCTGTAACATCAACAATTTCCAGAAAAAAATGGCAAGAAGGCAGCTACAGAGGTTTTTCCTTTTTTGCTTACTATGCTTACAGACTATTTTTACACCTTGCCTCTTTTACTAGCCAGAGCTGATCCGAGTTCCTTATCCCTATTCTTTTTAGTGCTGTCCCTGATTCCAAAGCAGAACTTAAGACTCTGAGATGAGTTGCTGTCATATCTGTCAATGTTAAATTTCACTATCTGTGGAAGTCTGAGAGTGCTCTTGTGGATTATGGCTCTCATCTTTCATTTATCTCTCTCTCCTCTGCTCCAGTGGAACAAACTGGAAATAAAACATACATGTTATTACGCTAGGAAAAAGAAAATAGCCAGAATAATTTTATTTTCCTTTGGGTATTTCCTTTTAGTGAAATGCTGATTATTTTAGCTAATCAGGATTTGCCACTTACCATCTCCTGATAGATTTTGCTCTTTGAGTGTCTTTGAGAAAGTCTCTGACTTTTGCAGCAAATTAAAAATATTTCTATTTTATTCATGATCTAGTTTTTGTATTTAGAATTTCAACTCAAGCATAGCCTTTCTAAGTCCTTCATGTAAGTGTGTGTGGATAGTAAACAAGAATGCCCATTGCAGCTGACAAAAATACACGGGTGAATTCTCCACAGTTGCTTTTTGACATGGCAGTGGTGTTGAATTGAGCCGTGACCCTCACTGGTATTTGTGTATAGGATTTATTTTTATCAGACAGGAGACCAGCACTCCATTAATCTCAAGCAGCATGTCAGTGTGCTCAGTTACTGAAATGTGATTTTCTTTTCTCTTTTTTTTTTTTAAACAGTTGATAGCATTGTATAGCCTGAAAATGTCTTGACTGCCTTGTTTCCCAAAGCTGTGCCACAGTTAGAGGTGATAGTTTTTT